TCATTGTCGCGCGCCCGCTGATGTAAATGCAAAATCACTGAAAATTGACGTAAACAACGCGTAAAATTTTGTGCACGCGTGTAATGGCAAAAAAAAACGCCCAATTCCGATGGAATATAACAGTGACATCTAACATTGTGTAAGTCGGCACAATCCGTCGGCCCATCGATCGTTAGACACATGCAAATGTCAGTGATAAAAATAGACATCGGCATAATTTAGAAACATTATACAGTAATGAGCCCCGTTTATCTTGTCAAATCAACAATTAACAACAATAGCGCTGTAAATATGTAACATGCGTGTGTATAATAGATAACGTGTGAATAATGATCGTAAACGGGATGAACGCAGTAATGAAACTCTAATGAATATATAAAGTGTTTTTCCCGATATACTGCAATGTATATATATATATATATATATATATATATATATGTATATATTTTGCCGCGCGTTAAATGGGATGTATCAAAACTGTCAATATATAAGAGTTAAAGTGGAAAATGTAAAAGTGTGTCGCAAAAACAGACTGAGTTTTTTTTTTTACGAAGTAGCACACACGCACGAGACGAATAAAATAATACACTTTTTATGCCTCTTAAACCAACTGCAATATATTTGATTATATTTAATGTATTTTTTATATATACACCGCATGTACACTACATTACTGAACATTTCGAATCGATAATCTGTTTTTAAATAAAATTTTAATTTTAATCTCCCGAACGGCTTCGGATTTTTGTTTTTGTTTTCTCGAGAACAGCCGAGCATAAGAGCGCTATAGCGTGTATTATAGTTCTATATTTCACTTTTGCTACGCCTACACGCTCGCAATGCTTCTCGATAATTACATTCGGCAAAAAATCGTTCCAAACTTCCATCGCGGAAAATCCAATAGTCTTTTCATGACATCCAATTCTATGAATCAATCCCTAGTAACGTCCGCATACACACAGACACAAACACAGACACGGGGCGAAGAAATCCCAACGGAATAGACTGGTCAATCAAACTCTCGCAGCTTATAGAGACCTGTCGACTCGCTCATTGTGCTTTACCGGCGTGCATGCTGATTGTCACGTAACTACCTTGAAACTCGGACAATCACATAAAATTAATTTTACACTGTGTACACAGTTTCTCCCAACGGCAGTCTAATTGTCTTCTATCCGAAGTGAGCCTCCTCTTCCGAGTTCCGGCGGGGCTCATTGTGCGAAAGCTCTTTGTACAATTTCGCAAAGAGCCACACACAAGTGTGCAGCCATACACACAATGCGTGTTTCACAAACGTAATGCAAATTGCATTTAATAATTCTGCAAATGTAACAAAGACGAAGCGTTGTGCAACAGGATACAAAGTAGCAAAAAAAAAAAAAAAAAAAAAATATTGCGAAAAAGTTCTTCTACCGCGATACGGACCATTAAACCAAGTCTCTCGATGGAGAGTGAGAGATTTCTATAGAAGTTGCGACACGACACACACCGAAGCGACAACTATATAACCGCGTGATTCTTCGCGAACAAACTCGAGGAGCAAAAAGTGCCTCTAGGCGACCATGTGTTAACATAGACAGCGATAGAGAGAAGCTGGTCAGGATTCTGTGCTCGTTCACAAGAGTCGGAACGTGTTATCGCCTAGGTGACGAAATAGCGGCGAAGCCGCTGATGTTACTCGCCAACAACTATTTCACCAGGTCGGTACGACGACCGAAACGTCGTCGTCGGTGCTCGACGAATAACACAGACGGACATACCGTCGCTTAGATACTTGGCTAAAAAAAAGTAATTGTCGGTTATTTCAGATCCGTTAAGTTAAGACGCTAATAAAGAGGCGTTCGATAAAATATACACGGCGATAAATTTCTTTGTTTAATCCCCGCGTTTTAAATCGCGCGATCATTCTGCGATTAACGTAGAGAGAAATACGATCGGCCTTTATCTCTCTCTATCTCTCTTGCTGTTCCGACAGATAATACGGAACAACAGTTTGCTCCAGATTTGTTGGCGAGTATCTGCAAATGTTCTGCGGAATACGGATTGTTTCTGGACAGTGACGTTACTAAGCTCGGTTTACTTGACGAATAAACGTCTCGCGTGCGTGCGCGCGTAAGAAAATTGATTTCGGAATCTCTCTTCGATGCAGTTGTACTGCAGTTATACTAAAACAACCTGAGAGCTGTTGCGTTGGAATAAAAAAAAAAACAAAAAGATTTGTGTAAATAGTTTCCTGAAATAATAAAATACGACGTGGAGTACAGGACAGAATTTATTTGGCATCACGTGCATTCTATTGTAATTATTTACAGCGAGGTTAATATGCACGAAAATTGCGCGTCAAGGCGTACGTTTATTTTTCTTTCCCCATGCCGCGAGCAAGCAACAGTCACTCATCTATTTATAACGCCACTGCACTAACCACCATCCGTCGGGTCTATTATCGCGTGTAAATATAGAGCGTATAAAAAAATGCCGATAGAATGCGTGGAACGCTTTTAGTGATTAATAGAGAACGAGAGAACAAAAAGGGTATTGGAACTGAAGAAATTATTGATTATGTCACATCGCGGCGTGCCAACTTCGACGCGACATTCGAATTGCGCGCGATCGTTGTCGCTGAAATTTACGAGCGAATTAACATAATTTTGCAAACGCTTCGCGTTCGCGCTCGTGATCGCATTTTGCAACTCGAGTATCTCTATATCCCTCGGATAGATTTTCTCCGTTCCTTTGAGTTCGTTTTACTCTCGCTCAGATTCTAACGCGATTACGACGACGACGACGACGTATAGAAAATCGCTGCGAGCTCTGCATTATTCATGATCGTAGCATCTTTAACCTTTGGTCGTTTTACCTCTGTATGAAAAAGAAACATTTTAAACAAATCTAATCAAATGAATAGAAGACACGCGTTATGAGCGATCGTATAAATAAAGCCAATAAGAAAAGATGCGGGCGCTTATGTTATTCGAAAGTGAATTACACACACACATACACACACACACACAATCGTAATCGAATCAATGCGTAATCGAATCGCACGTGCTTGATTTGAAGCGCTTATTTTTTTTTTCGCTTTTTGTTCGCAACCTCACACGCAACCTCCCCCGAACGAATGAAATAAAAAAAGAGGTGACGGTGTGTTACTTTCAGCGAGCGAAGACGAAACGGTGTTGAAATTAAAAACGGATTGGCGTTTAGATTTTCGTTTTATTACGGGGTCGGTGTATGCATAATCCAGTTGATTATGCAGATTTATGCGATACGTTGTTATGCAACGAACAAAGCGCTTGTCATCCGGCAAAGTGGATAAGGAAAAGTCGTCGAACCTTGCTGTGCGTGTGGTCGACGACGCGCTCTCGCAAGCTCTCTCTCCCTCTCTCAAAATAGCAGAACTACTTCAAGATAAATGACCGCGATGTGATCACTTTCGTAAGAGATTGCAGGATCTATAAATCACACGGCGCCTCTCGTAAAACATATCTTTAGACTAATGAGTCGTCGTTGAAGAAATTGCTTATTTGCATATTACTTGAGCGCAAACACGAGCGAAGCGGCGCTCGTCCGATTATCAGACAGACGATGATAATAATTTCGCGTAATCTGGTCAATTCGCCAAAAGAGCTTGTTCCGCGATTGATGGATTTCCGTCAGAAACGCGAGAAAATTCGTCGCTCGGATTTCGTCCCGAAATCAAGGTTTTTTTAATTTTTTGAAATTTAATCTCTTTTAAAATTGGGGGACAAAAAAAAATATCAGAAGCCTTCAATTAGCGGATTAAAAAACACACGTCTGTCCGTCTTGTTGTCTGACAAAACCGTCACGCAACCGCAGAGAAAAATAATCTTCTTTTTTTTTTTACGGTGCACAGCTTTGCTACGTCAAGCATGACAAAATGCTCGAATGCTCTCATGAAACTTAAACTGAAAGAAAGACCAACTAGATATATCCTTTGGCCGATGGGAATATTTTTCACAGCACGTGCTACGTCGTTGAGGAGGTCAGTGGCGCGTTCCGCAGGCGGATCTTTGTGTGCATTAGTTGAGAAAGTAAAAATAGTGCGGAATAAATAATCACAAGAACGACGAATAAATATCCGCATATTGTCACTTACGTAATTGTATGTATGTTGTGTGTGTGTGTGTTTACACTTTATTAAAACACTTTATTAAAATCGATGTAAATTTAGAGATTTGTAAGACGTGTAAAAAATTAAGTTCGATAATTAAATTTTCTCGCAGCTGACAATTTCCGTTTCTCCTTCTCTTTCTCTTCCTTAAATAACGTGTTGATACGAGGTTTCTTAATTTTTTACCGAGAATGTAGAGAGAGAGAGAGAGAAATATGCCCTCAACTTAAAAGCTCTGGTTTTTCTCGATTTCACGCCACTGCAAACACGCGAGACCGTTGCAGAGCGTGCTCGCGAGAGGTCGTATATATAAAGACGGCCTACTGTAAACCGCAAGCTCCATTTGTTGCTCGCAAGCTCGCGGCTATCGAGCCCGATCGTCGGAATTTAGTTGGCACGGTACCGCGGTGTGTTGTTTCGCGGTGTAATTACGACCACGTAATCACACCGCAGAGAAAATCCGTCCTTCCTACGTGCCGATTGCTCGTACACGATAGACACGATTTTTTTTCTTCGCTACGTAAAGCTTTTTTTGGGGATGCGAGTTTGCGCACTTGCGCTCCGCATTCCAGCAACCAAGTCGCAACCTGACAGTGATGTCGCGCATTGTCTCGGCTAACTGCGCGCAATAAAAAGTGCACAACAATTAAATAACTAATTCGCACGGTCTTTTCTGATGCAAACATTTACGCTGTTCGCGCGAACGCGCGCCAGGAACGCTTGAAAACGATTTGAAAATTTTGCGCAGCGAAATTGTAGACGCAGCGGTGTTTCAACAATTCTTTTTTGTTTTTTTGAAAAAATTACATGCGGAAAATAAAGTCATACGTAAATTTGTTTGTAACGTAATATCCTTGTTTTGTTACAGATGTGATTTGTAGAATGTGCTTGTGGAACAACTTGAACGGGGAAACAACATCAGCGAAATTTAAATAAAATGCGTAGTTGAATGATGCGCTGTAAAACGGTGATCTTGCGCTATCACAATCATGACATAGTCTACGACGGAAGATGCAGCACGGGGAAGGAGGATAGAAGACGCGGAAAGCTTGAAAAATTATATGTACAGGTAACAGAAAATTATTGCTGCGCAAACGGTGTATATTTTTTGTGCGCCACAAGAGTATTTTTCTTTAGAATTTCTTTGTGGACGTTTTATCGCAAAAATGCAATAAACAAAACATCGTCATTTTTCGTTTCTCCCACTTTCGAATTTTGATTAAAGTTTGATATAAGATCTAATTGTTGAATGTATATACACAATTTCTCAATTTGAATGCAAACTCTCTTATATGATTTGGATTTTGCTCAATCGTATGTTTAGGCAACAGACGCCTTACTTTTGCATCCCAAAGACGCCTGGCTACAATAAGAAGCAGAAGTGGAGACGGACACGTGTGCGGAAGAATACGCGGTCCATATCCGGTCCGCCATTTTGGCGGCATGGTCCTTTGGGCCACTATACTATTTCTCCAAGGAGTTGGATTCCTAGGTAAGTTGAAAACGTGTGGAAATGATAATAAATTTTTTAGCGCCACCGAGTGATCAGTAGGTACACATCCTGGTTATTTCACTGATTCCAGGCTCGGTGACGGGCAGTCCCGGCGTTCCAGAAAACATAACAGTAATGTTCCTGAATCCGACGTCTGTGCGTGTGTCTTGGAGCACCAGCCAGATCGAGCCGATCGAAAAATACGACGTTACGTACAGACCGACCGATGCCAGGTGCGTTCAAATGATTTTGTTATTGCAAAACTCTATGTGTAGAGAGAGAACTTTTATATTCCGGAAAAATAGCGGAATCAATTTCATAGGAGAGAGTAAATTGGATATTTTTTACGCATATGAGATGCAAACCAAGCACATGAATTTTCGAATATCGAATTTCCATATAGTAATTTACGTTTGAAAAATATGTTTGCACATACATATTGGCCCTTGTATCGGCTCTGAGAATTGGAAAAACAAAACTGTAAAAGTCGGAATTACTCCAAACCGATTTCGAAAAGTTCCGTAACAAGTACCTAAAATGTTAGGTTTTGTAAAAGTAAAAAGTTTTCAAACTATGAAGTGCATTTAATTAAAAATGCAGAATATATTTTGCGTATATATAACATTTTCAGCTTTTGCGCAAAGGGGCTATCGTTCTATAGACATTACACGCTCTTAGAAACTATCGTGTAACATTGCTATTGGATTTTTAATTTCAACAAATTGACAATTTTCAAGTACTTTTTTGCGTGTGTTGCGTTTACTTGTAGTGAATATTGAGCAACCGGAAACATGTCAAGGTTTGCTTGGAAATAGAAGATACTTGGAATATCAACTACAATACGATAACATTTTCTCTTGTAACTTGCCTGAAAAAAAAACAAGAAGAATCTATTGCAATTGCGATTTGTGTATGTTTGTTTTCATCCTGTTGACATGTTCGTACGAATCGCACAGTAATAGAAAAGGTTTAAATATAGAAATTTGCAGATTTACATAGCGAATATGGCGAGATAATGGATCTATAAATCGACGAAAAATAATATTTATACACCGATTCTCAAAATGACCTCGGTATTCATTGAGACCTTTTATTTTTTCACGCGGTGTAGAGGATTTTCAACAACAAACATATTGCTTTTTCCTACGAATGAAAATGTTAATAATTTTCGGTGCGAGGATTTAATTGGATAAAAAAATTGGATGTCAATTTTACGTGTATAATTTACACGTATACGTTTTATATGTAAAAAAATGAAAAAAAAAAACGATGACTAAGCGAATTTCCGAGATTTACGAACAATATGATAATAAAACAATCGCGCTTGATAAAATTATGAAACAAACGTAAAATTGAAAAATTATTACTGAAAAAAAATGTCAAATTCGCAACAAGCTTGTTATCGAAACGACAAATTCGATCATTTACCAAATTTATCTTGTTGTATTTTTGTTGAAAAATATCTCGAATATTACTTTACAACATGTAATAAACTGTTATTCGGTGAAATGTTATTTTTTAATAATTGTTCAATGTTACTTGTTTATCAACGTTAAAAGCCTTGTCGCAACATTTTTATTAGACAAAAAAAGTAAAAACTTCATTGCGTACGAATTTAATGAAATATCCGATAAACTCTCTCAGAGATAATCTGTGGTATTTGTAATATTAAATGTAATATGATATTTGCATACATTATATTAAAAATATGCAATTTCTCTCAACATTTGTGTGTAGCAATATTGACCTCCGTTATAATAGAATGATTCAGTGCTGTATATGCTTCCGTTATATAAAGTTTTCAATATACACTTAACGTTGTTAACATACGACAATGTATTTTATGACTTTATGTAACGACGAAAACACACGAGGACGGATATTAAATTGATTAAATTCAAAAATTGTTCTAGCTAAAAGAAAACTTATTCGAGTCGCTTTTTGTTTAATTAAACTGTGATTTTTATTTTTGCAACAATTTTTGTTAAAAAAAAAACAGAATAATAATCAGAAAAACAAAGCGTGTGATTGTACGGTAGTTGTAGAACGAAAGTCTGTCGCGCAGCTGTTTTATATTTTATAAATAATTTTACTGCACTTGACTATTTCGAAGTTTCTCTCGAAATCCACCAACGAACACTTTTAGAATTATTGCTTTTACAATAACTCTCTCAAACACTGGAGAGATATTTTTATCTTCGTGAGAAATCATCGACCGATCCATAAGGGCGTAAAAGTGAGAATCATAACGGCAAGGTGGTTAGTTACAGGGTGGTGGCGGTAGTCGCGGGAAATAGCGAAGCGGTCACCTTAAGCGGTCTACAGGCTGACACGCAATATCAGCTGGTTGTAACCGCTGTGAGAGCCGGAAAGAAATATCGAAGCCGACCGATCGTCTTCCGTACACTCGGTAAGCTTTGCCTTCCTAAGCTTTACCTGTCTCCGGCATCACGGTCACACGTGACAGGTGCGTTCTGACAAAGGAAAAGAAATGTCTATGATCCGTTTAAGTTGTCCAAAGCAATCTGACCGACAATCCGTAGCAATTCGGATTTTACCCTCTCTATTATTTACTTATCAAAGCCACAAACCGTCGCGCGTATTTCGGAATATGTTTTTGTTTCTACCTTCTAAGTCTTAAACCTATCCTCTTGATCTCTCTTAAAGTTTCTCTGATGCGCAAAGAACATTATGCCAATAAATTTCGGGTTTTAGAACCACCACGCACGTCTCCGCAGCAGGATGCGGCGGTAACTGGTGGTCCTCTTCCACCGCCTCCACCGTCCTCGCAACAACCTCAACCGTATATACAAGTAAGATATTTGTTGCATTTGCTCTTCTTAACTTTCAACGATTTTATTTTCGTGCGCTATCACACAACAGTGCGAAGATATATTTAATTTCGCAGAATTTATTTTTGTCTATCAGTTCGTACATTTTTACTTGACAAAAAAAAGTAATTATCAGTAGATAATTAACATCTGTCATAAGCTCTTGCTAACATTTCTTATCGAATTTCTTACTGCGGATAAATTGTGATAAAAAAAAATGGAAGATAAAAAAAAGAACAAGAGAATAAATTAATGTGCTAGTTAATCGAAGAATCGCAACTTGCTCTTGTTTTTGTCAGATCCGCGGCGTTGAGGTGGGCATAGTCGTGTTAGTGCTGATAGTCTGGGCGGGTGCGATAGCGCTGTTCTTCAATCGCTGGGGCAAGATCCGCATGCTGCTGCCTTATCAGCCCGATTATAAGGAGCAGCTGAAGGTTCCTGGTACCGGGGTCTGCTCGGCTGCGAACTCCGCGTATACACAGCACCCGACGCAGCACGCGTGTTCTCAGGTAATGCATAGGTATACCGCACCCCAACACAACGAAACCCAAACGATCTCGCGACCACGTACATTTATGTAAATTAAACCACCTTTACATAGGGAAGTAGCATTTCTTCGAATTGGAGCAAAATTAAAAACTACACCTGAAATAATCTTTTTTTTTTCTCGAGTTTTACATCTAGATATTAAATTTCGAGACGCCCAACCAAACGTTCGAGAAACAATTTTTGAATTAATTTTGATCACAATTTTGTGAATGTAATTAAATTCTGGTAACATTTACGTATCCACGTGTTCGATCTCATGGCTTTATCATTATTCTCTCTTTTACAGTTTAAACAAATATTTTACAAATTTTCCTCTTTGCAGTAAATTTTATTTAAATGTCAGAATTCTGTATTTGCGACTTGTTCAAAAGAAACATAATCACGAGCGTACTAAAAAGACACAAGCGAAAAACTTTATTAACGAACATAGAGCAAACTCTATTAAAAAACTTTATTACCGAATATATACATATATAACGATCTCTCACTCAAATGTCAAGAAACATTTTGCTGAAAGTCATTTGGTTTTATTTCGCGCAAGCAGACGGCTTGCAGCCGCGGGGGCTAGATAAAAATATAAGTTTCTCTGATTTTCTAAAGAGTACATCGCAAACCGCGCGCGGTCATATACAACACGGAATATTCCGTATTCATTTTCTTCGAGATTTCAGATTGTGCATGATATTTTGCCATACTGCTCTCTCTCCCACAGTGTACATACATATATATACATATATTTATAGAGCGGGCGCGATGTAATCTCTATTATGTATGCGAACTTTATTATGTATGGCTTTCGAGTGTTGCGTGATGTAAACGATCGTGCAATACGCCGGTTTCGCGTCACCGCAAAATTCAAATAACATCGATCGATGGTCAAAGACCAACGCGAACGTTAAAACGCAACCGACGGCATATCTCGAATACCGGTTTGTACTCGCGGAAACACATCTACGTACTCGCGCGCGCACCGGCATTTGATTCTCTCTCTCCGCATACGCATTCCAATTCGGCATACAATACGCGAAGCCCGAAGAAATGACGCGTTTGAACTTTGAACTTCGTCAATTTGTGAATTTTTTTCTCGCTCTTGAAAAAAAAATTGGAAAGACGCTCGATTCGTTGATTGTAAATTCGAAATGTAAATCTCTCGCTCGTGTATGTTTACGCAAAACGCACATGTTTACATCGAAAATTTTGCATATTACGTTTATTAGCAACATATTATGAGTATTATTGAGCTTGCGTTGATATTTTTTTTTTGCCATTAAGTATCTCTCGCTGATATATATCTCACACGATGTAGAATATTGATTATTTCTATTATTACGAAAATTTGAGAACTGCTTTCGCAGCACACATATGCCAAGCTTCGGCGCAGTATTATTATGGATATTACTATATATTTATCGAGTGTGTTTGAAAACGCCTTTTGCGCGCCACGCAATTAAGTACATAATATATTTACTTAGATAGCGTCTGATAAAAATATCGCAACATATTAGTGACACTATTTTTCAGTAATAAATAAGCATATACAGCTGCTGCATATCGAACAATAACGAGACAATAAGTATATCTCATTATTCGGAAAATAAAACACATAGGTATTATCCGAATGAAAACGGTAATTTGATATTAATATACATTATTATTCACAAACTCTCCACATATAATCATAATATTTTGTAAATATATTACATGTAATTAAAAGTAGGTTCTTCTCTCTATTTCAGTTTATACTAATTAATTAAGTTTTAACGTTCAATTAAAGTAACTTGTTTCTTCTAGTAGAACAAATTTATTTAATTATTTGAAAATGAGAAAGAGAGAGAGAGGAAAATTAACAATTATTCCGAATAATTCTGTTTAAGAAGTCTATTCATAATTTGAGAGAAGCGAGGAGTTAAAAGAAAATCTATTAAAAGATGCTTCACTGGTCTAAGAAAAAAGAACTTGCGACTGTGATATATAGTTGATCTATAGTTTTAAACGAATATTACAATGTCCAAATTTTTGTATTGTGATGTCATTCGTAGCGTTTCGAGTCGACTGAATAGACTTCTTAATTAATTTACTACTCGATTCAGTAAGTTCCGTTGCATATTTTAAAGATAAAAATTTATTTAAAGAAAAATTTACATCGTCAGTTTAATGAGCAAACAGAACAGTTGTGTGCTGATTCGTTAAATGCGGCAGCGTTTTTCAAATCGTTTACAAAAAAAAAACCAAAGAATTATCGGTAACGAACATGCCGTATTGCACAGAAAGTAAAAATCAGCAATTAAATTGACGATTTAATAAATTTTTCTTCTCAATTTTATTCCAAGAACCAAGTAGCAAAAAATTAAATTCAAAGAAAAGAACAAATCCTTGTAGACACTTGTACTTCTCGAACAGCTCTTAATCGCATTTACCCCTCTCCCCGTAGCTTTAGTTAGTAAGACCAATTGATTAATCTCAAGTAACACTATTTAATTCTATTGATCTCTTCTGTTTCCTCTCTTCTGTCTCCACATCGTTTCTCCCGGATTGACTGCACGAAAATTCGCGATATCGTCTGGCGCTACACGCGTTACCGGTATCATCCCCCTACACTGTTCTGCGCTGCGTATGTCTGCCCTCCCCCCGACCATCCTCTCACGTGTGTGATATTCGGCGGATTACGTACGGCCACGAAAAACAAAAAAATTGCTCACAAACGAACAAAAACCACGAAAAAAAAATAAACCAAAACAATTGCACAAAAAAAAAAACATGAAACGGAAACTACGGAAGGTAATGACCACATTGTCGGATATGGTGATGCAGTGCGGGGGCGGGGGCTGCTGCGTCCTGGAACAGTGCTTTCAATATCCCAGAAGAGCCCGAGAGCCCCGGGACTGCGGCTGCCAATTCGCTCTACTCCACAGGGCGGACAACGCGTGACCATCGGTACATGTCTTTTAAAATTTCAATTTTATCTTCTTTTGTGATCTCCTACTACTACTACTACTACTTTATTATGCCGGAGAGAAACCTCGAAAACTGTATCGAGGCACTCACTTCTGTCTTTCTATAATACTCTGTCTCTCACTCTCTTCACACACGTTTTTCTTGTGTCTGTGTGATTTATCCTCTTTCTAGCTGTCTGTCTCACTTTGTAATCTTTCTGTTCGTCACATCACGAAAAAAATTGACAGTTTTTTTTTTTTTTTTGGTTTAACTATTACATATAGAATTTTTTTCGTTTTACTCCTGTATCTATTTTTGTTTTGTTTTTTTACAATATATTTGTCTAGTCGAGACAAGATTTTTTTGCCTTGATTAGTAGATGTTGTCGATTTTAATTAGTAAACTCACTTTTAGAGAAACTTGCGAACAAAGGAAATCACATATATAAAGACACGCGCGTAAAACTTTTTTTACGACGGAATTGAAATTTGTATAAATTATATATATGATTTTCTTAATAACGATTCTGTGATTTTTTTAATTAGCTTATTCAGTTGTCTTTCCGTAAACGGAAATACTCTGCGAAATTATGTTTTGGTTTTTTTATAAACACACGTGAAAAAAAGAAAAATTCCAGCCAAAGTGAATAAGCGTAATGTTTTGAGTTCTTTCGTAACCTTCGCGCCGTTCTGTTCGAGAAACGATCGATACCGACACAATATTGAACCTCGTAAAAACGCTGCACATCTTATTGCACGGCGCGAGACGCTTGGGTGATTAATACACAGTTTGTCCGGAAAGTTCCCGGACTGATTTTTTCTAGCGCGGGTAAGCGGCGCTATCGAGCGGTCAACGCTGGAACTACTTAGTAT